TGTGGGAGTGTGTGTGTGTGTCTGTGGGAGTGTGTGTGTGTGTGTGTAGTATGCAGGGTGCTTTCTGCAGTAATAGGTGCTTAACCATTTCCAGAACCCTGATGTATTGAGATTGATTCATAACTGATTTCAGGGGAAGAAATACATCTTTTCCCTACTGTGTGCCCATTGATATTCTTGGATCAGTGCTTCTTGTGGAATATGGCAAAATGCTCAGCTTTGTTACAGAATTAATAGCAGATGCACATAGGCACACGCTCATACATACACACACACACACACACACACACACACACGTGCGCACACACAGATAGACTTTGATGTTCTTTTATTGCATTTGAGGCATTTGTGCATGTGCATGTAAGTGGGATTGTGGGTGTGTGTCACTATATGTGTGTGTGTGAGTGAGAGAGAGAGAATCACTGTGTATGTGTTGCAGTATGTGTGTGCGTGTATGTGTAGCAGAGAGAGAGAGAAAATCTATGTGTATGTGTCACTGTGTGTGTGTGACAGAGAGAGAGAGAATCACTGTGTATTTGTGTGTGTGTGTGAGTGAGTGAGAGAGAATCACTGTGTGTGTATGTATCATGGTATGTGTGTGTGAGAATCGCTGTGTGTATGTGTGTGTGAGTGAGAGAGAATCACTGTGTGTGTGTATGTTTCACGGTATGTATGTGTGAGAGAGAATCTCTGTGGGTGTGTATGTGTCAGTATGTGTGCATGTATGTGTGAGAGAGAATCACTGTGTGTGTGCGTGTATCTGAGAGAGAGAATCACTGTGTGTGTGTGTATGGCATGTGTCATGGCGTGTGTGTGTGTGTGTGTGTGTGTGTGTGTGTTGGTGATTTGCAGCTCCCACCCTGAGAGCCAGTTTGCTCGCTGCCGTTGATAAAGTAGCAATTCCCATTGATGATGGAGTTAGTCTCTCATTGTCTGAGCTGCCCATGGTGAAGGGCCCAGTCACTGCATGCAGACACAATCAGACCGTTTAGCCATTAACAGTATTCATGCATGAAATTGTACACCTTTTTGTGATGGTTTTTTTAAACTAGTTTCTATAGAATTCTGATTATGTGCTGTTAAGCTGTGCCATTATGTTGCATGTCTCTGAAATCATTTTGGTTCACTCCCTCTGTATCACCCCCCACCCTTCTTATCTCTCTAGCTGTCAGACAGATTTGTGTTCAAACTGGGCCAGTGCAAGGACCACTGCTTTTTGTTATTTATATAAATGATTTGGATGTGAGTATAGGAGGTATGGTTAGTTTACAGGTGACACCAGAATTGGAAGTGCGATGGACTATGATGAAAGTAACTTCAGAGTACAACAGGTTCTGGATCAGATTGGGTCAATGGGCTGAGGAGTGGCAGATGGAGTTTAATTTAGACAAATGTGAGGTATTGCATTTTGGTAAGGCAAACCAGGGCAGGATTTATCCAGTAAATGTAGGGCCCTGGGGAGTGATGCTGAACAAAGGGACCTTGGGGTGTAGATGCATAATTCGATGAAAGTGGCAACACAGGTAGAAAGGGTGGTGAAGAAGGCATTTGGTACGTTTGCCTTCATTGGTCATTGCTTTGACTATGGAGTTGGGAGGTCATGTTGCAGCTGTACAGGAGATTAGTTGAGGCCTTGTTTGGAATACTGTGTACAATTCTGGTCGCCCTTCTATAGGAAGGATGTTTTTGAACTTGAGAGGGTGCAGAAAAGATTTACAAGGATGTTGCTGGCCTGGAGGATTTGAGCTACAGGGAGAGGCTGAATGGGCTGGGACTGTTTTCCCTGGAGCGTCGGAGACTGAGGGCTGATCTTATTGAGGTTTATAAAATCATGAGGGGCATGGATGGAGTGAATAACCAAGGTCTTTTCCCCAGGGTAGAGGAGTCCAAAAGTAGAGGATATACGTTTAAGGTGAGAGGGGAAAGATTTAAAGAGGACCTGAGGGATAACGTTTTCAAGCAGAGGGTGGTGTGTGTGTGGAATGAGCTGCCAGAAGAAGTGGTGGAGGCTGGTACAATTACAATATTTAAAAGGCATCTGGATGGGTACATGTATAGGAAGGGTTTAGAGGGATATGGACCGAATGCTGGCAAATCGGACTAGATTTATTTAGGATATCTGGATGGCGTGGACAAGTCGGACCGAAGGGTCTGTTTCTGTGCTGTACATCTCTATGATTCTGTGCTAACTTTCTGCAATCCTAAATTGTTGCTTGAAGAGAAATATGTAATTTTCATTTCTCTTCCCTTTCCAGGCACCCAACAGCATGTTTGACATCCAGCTCGTGGGGAACAACTCTGAGCATTTTACCATTTCTCCAACATCAGGCCAGGGGAAGGTAGACATCCGAGTGCGAGTGGCACTGCCTCTAGATTTTGAGCGCATCGCTCACTATGAATTCTCGGTAAGTTGCTTGATTGGACCCCATTTCAGGTGTGATTTTTATTTTATCTCTCATTACAACATAAGGGGAAGATCAGTTTGGTCCCTAGAGCCTTGTTCTGCAGTTCAATGGCTGATCTGTGGCAGGACTCCATTAAAACCCCATGAAGCTCCAAGAACGCTAGAGGATCTCAGCAGGTCTGGCTGCATCTGTAGAGAAAGAAACAGAGTTAACACTTCATTCTGTGTTCTCAAGAAGTGTCACTGGACCCAAACGTCATTTTTTTTATTCACTCATGGAATGTGGGCATCTCTGGCTAAACCAGCACTTAATTGCCCATCCCTCATTGCCCAGAGGGCAGTTAAGTGTCAACCCCATTGCTGTGGGTCTGGAGTCACATGTAGGCCAGACCAGGTAAGGATGGCAGTTTGTTTCCTGAGGTAACTGCACAGAGGATAGTGTCCCAGCACCAGGTCACCCTTTATTTACATGTACCTCTGGCTGTGACCAACCAGCTCAGTCAGTCCCTAAAGTGAGGAGACTCTCAATCCCCTATTTATATCCGTCAGCCAGGGCGCCCTGATTGGCCCGAGTTAACAGCCGCAATGAAGGATCCTATAGTTGATAAAATCCATTGCTTGCAATCACTACACTTCTCCAAAGGACATTAGTGATCCAGATGGTTTTTGCCGATTATCAACAATGGGTTCATGGTTGTCATAAGACCCTTAATTCAAGATTCTTTATTTAATTCAAGTTCCACTATCTGCCATGGTGGGATTTGAATCAATGTCCCCAGAGCATTAGCTGAGTTTCTGGATTAATAGTCCAGCAATAATACCAGTAGGTCATCGCCTCCCCACAAAAATCAATGTTCCCTGACCGGGAATCGAACATTAACTCTGCTCTGTCTCTCCACAGATGCTGCAGACCTGCTGATTTTCTGTTTTGGTTAATGTTTCGCGTGTGGTATGACTCTTCTGCAGAACAGGATTGACGGGTTTTGTTTCAGATTTCCAGCACCTGCTGTATTTTGGCCTTTATTCATCAACTTCTCCTGAGAGGAGTTTGTTTCCCACAGTTTGCAGAGATGTCACCTCTCCAGGAGTCGAAACTTTATCTCCAGAACAGCAGATTTTGTTTTCCAGCAGAGAAAAGAAATCTATCGAGTTTGAAAGAAAACTGAAGGTTCTTTGTTTCTTTATTTTCTTCACGTGCTTTCTATTTATTGGTCAGTAAAGATATTGGAATGGGGGGATTGGAAAGTTGTCGAGATTAATGCAATATAGAACGCTGCTGGAAATCTGAAACAAAACAAAGTGCTGTTTTACAGCTGCTCCAACCTTTTTGTGAATCATAGAATTGTACAGTACAGGTGAAGCCCTTTGGCCCCTCAAGCCTATACCACCCAAAACATACTTCTAGCTACACCAGTCCTGCTTTCCTGCGCTAGGCCCATAGCCTTGGATGAACACTTGAAGCGTCATAACATTCAAGTACCTTTTTTGAAAGTTGTGAGGTTTCCTTTCTCAACCACCCTCTCAGGCCGTGTATTCCAGACCCCCATCGCCCTCTAGGTGAATAGGTTTTTCCTCAAATCACCTCTAAACCTCCTGCCTTTCACTTTAAAATTATACTCCCTTGTTATTGACCTTTCAACTAAGGAGAACAGTCATAGAATCCCTACAGTGTGGAAGCAGGCCATTCTGTCCTTCAGGTCCACACCGATCCCTCCGAAGAGCATCCCAGACAGACCTAGCCCCCTACCATTTCCCTGTGACCCTGCATTTCCCAAGGCTAATCCACATAACCTGCACATCCCTGGACACTATAGCTTGGCCAATCCACCCTAACCTGCACGTCTTTGGTCTGTGGGAGGAAACCCACACAGACACAGGAAGAATGTGCAAACTCCACACAGTTGCCTGAGGCTGGAATTGAACCTGGGTCCCTGGTGCTGTGAGGCAGCAGTGCTAGCCACTGAGCCACTGTGCCACCCAGATTCCCCCTCAGCCTTCCCTGCTCCCAAGAAAACAACCCCTCAGAAAGGAGGTCCCTATGGAGCAGATCAAAATAAATAGCAATCGAAAAGGGAGGAATGCCTTATAGTGGGACAGTTTTCACGCAGTGAGAATGCATTCAGGATCTGTCCTGGCTTTCTCTTTAAAATGATGCCTCCTTATTATTGACCCTTCAACTAAGGGGGACAGATGCTTTTGATCCAACCTATCTGGGGTTCAAAGAATACCCTGCGATGCGAGGGGAAAGATTTAAAAAGGACATGAGGGGCAACTTTTTTAACACAGAGAGTGGTTTGCGCGTGGAATGAACTTCCTGAGGAAATGGGGGATGTGGGTGCAGTTACAACGTTTAAAAGACATTTGGACAAGTTCATGAATAGGCAAGGTTTGGGGGCATTTGGGCCAAGAGCAGGCAGGTGGGACTAGTTTAGTTTGGGATTACTGTCAGTCTGGACTGGTTGGGCCGAAGGGTCTGTTTGTGTGCTGTATGACTTTATGACTCTGACTCTATGACTCTGTGAGAATACTTTGGTTGGGACAGCCCATTGCCTGCCACAGAGTTTACATCTCCACTTAGAACAATCGAGCACAGTCAGGTGCACTCGACTGGACTGAGGAGGGTGGGTGGATGTTGCTTATGAGGCTGTTGGTGAGTAGAGGTGAGAGTTTGCCAGCTATCCCAGTGGAAATTTGGAGGTGTACATGGATTAAACATGCTTGGTGAAAAGGAGACTGCTCAGGCCGGAAATGAGTAGAGTGGCAGGGCAGTCTGTACAAGCGGAGAGCAAATGGAATCGGGATGTACGCTGGAATTGTTTGGAGTCTTGATCACGGCACTTTTGCATTTTTAATGAGCATCTTTTGTGTGCCTCTCCTCTCCTGAAGCTGTTTGCTTCACACTGAAATATATTTCTGCAGACGTTCAAGCAGTGTTCTGGCACCCTGCCCAGTTGACCTACCATTCACTGAGATGACCTCTAGTCAATGGGTCACCCTACTGAAAGCACAAACAATGAGAATCAGCCCTCGCCATGTGTCACCTTGCCTTTACTCAGTCTGCACGTTGTTGAACTTCGGATCGTCAGGGATGTCAAGCCAAGATCAAGACTTTTGCATACTCTGCCAAGCAGTGATGGGCACAATCAATCCCCTCTGATACCACTCCAGCAGCATCTGAGACTGAGTTGCTCCGAGGGACTTATCTGAGGAATTCTGCTGCTTCTACCCAGCCTCCAGAAAATAGCAGCTTAGCTGGGCCTTGTAAATGAGATTCCTCGATCCTCATAACCCAAGTAGGAACAAGGGGGTGAAGAAATTCAGACTGTACAGAGCACACGTCCATAAAAACTCAAGGTTTAAAAATAGCTCAACCATCTACCAGGACAATTACATCGGGCAAACACAACTGGAAGGTGCGAAATAACAGGGAAAACAAACTGGGAGAAATTTAATATTCAGAATTGAAGCTTAATTCAGGCACCTGGAGATAATATAATGCCTGCTTGTGACACCAATTGTGGTGATTTTGTTTGTACTGTGAATTGATGTGAGCTATCATGTCACCTTGGTACAAAGTAATTGTACAGACTGTCCCTTTTCCACCAGCACAGCTGCTAAACAAAATGCCAGCAGAATGAAGTGTGTGCACAATGCAAAATCTCATTAGAAAGCAATTTACATTCTGCTGGAGCGTGTACCAGCTCTGAGCTAGTGCTCTGGCTTGTCACCTTCAAGTGGCATCACGGTACTGAATGAAAAGTCAGGATGTCACTCACGATCTGAAGCAATGAGTTTTCGAGACCAGCTCCATGCTCAGATATCATTCAATCAGGAAACTTGATGAATTATTTGTGATTGACCCCCCCTCGATATTTTGCTGCACAGAGCCATCTGACGATGAATCCCAGGCAACTGGAATGCTAGAAGTTGCAATGTTCCCTTCCAATGTCATAAGTAAAATGATGTTTATGATTCCTTTGCAATGGTCACAGGGGAAGAGGGTGCTTTCCAGGTGTCTTCTGTCACATTCTGCTCATAGCCAGAGGAGACAATGGCCTAGTGATATTATTGCTGGGTTGTTAATCCAGAGATCCAGGTAATTTTCTGGGGAAAACTGAAAGAGCTGTGGATGCTGTAAATCAGGAACATAAACAGAAGTTGCAGGAAAAGCTCAGCAGATCTGGCAGCATCTGTGAAGAAAAATCAGAGTTAATGTTTCGGCTCTGGTGAAGGGTCACTGGACCCAAAACGTTCACTCTGATTTCCCTTCATAGGTGCTACCAGACCTGCTGAGGTTTCCAAGCAACTTCTGTTTTTGTTCCTAATTTTCTGGGGAGCCAGGTTTGAATCCTGCCATGGCACATGGTAGAATTTGAATTCAATAAAGATCTGGAATTAAGAATCGAATGATGACCATGAAACCATTATCGATTGTCAGGAAAACCCATCTGGTTCACTTAATGTGAAACTGCCATCCTTACATGGTCTAACCTATATGTGACTCCTGACCCACTGTAATGTGGTTGATTCTTAACTGCCCTCTGGGCAATCAGGGATGGGCAATAAATGCTGGCCTAGCCAGTGATGCCCTTGTCCTGTCAATGAATTTTAAAATGTTTAAAAATCCAATTCCACCAGAAACATATCACTTGACCATTTATTCCATGCTTTTGGATCTTGCTGTGTTGAAGATGTCTGCTACATTTGCCACAGTAAAAGTTGCCGGTGTGCTCATATACAAACTTGATTTGATACTTTCTTCATTTGTGGCTTGTTTTGCTTTGAGTTTCTTAATTGTTCCTTCAGTTTTTAACAGTTTTAATGTCTTTATGGCTCATAGCTGTTAAGACATAGAACAGCTTAATTGTTCTTATTTATAAAGCAAACAAGTCTAAGCAGACTCTTATTGCTAATAGAGCAGAGATCCTTCATTGACCAATATTATGAGCCCATATGTGCACAGAATGCTTGTTTGCATGTGTTTATAATTGCCTCGTCAAC